CCAATCTTCACAATCGCACTGAAAAATCATCCTCGTCACACGAGGAACAAAGAAACAAGACTGCTTATACCGCCATTTGCGCGACACGATTCGAATGCGACAGGAACCGTGCGTCTACCTCCGCGCGCGGCTTCTTGTCGTGCCAGGAGCATGTTTTGCCGCTCGCCCGTCCTGCCCCATCCCGGGCGGGAACCACTTTCGCCCCCTCTCCCCCTCGACCCCCGACGGCCCTCTCGCCGTCGCGCTTTCGGAGAATATGGATCGGCCCTGACAATATTGCCGTCGGTACCACCCCGCGTCTCCACCGGCATGATATACGCGGCCGCATTTCATATATTCCATTGTTTCCAAGTTTTCGGATCCATTTGTAAGATTAAATTTGTAATGCGGGAACACTCCGCCCTCCCCCTCCTCCGTCCCCCGCTCCCTGTCACCGCGCATACACCGCCATCCCCGCGCACCCCGGCGTCGCCACCTTTTGCTGCGCGCACGAGAGTCGACGCATATGGCCGACCGGTCAATTTCCTCGCGTGCTGAAACACCGAAACCGGATGTAGTCGAGAAGATTGTCACCCAGTACGAAGCTCGATTTTCTTCTCCCGAAGAATAAGAATGCTAGAACGTCTTCTGGATAGACGATTTTTGAATCGCGCAGTTAGAAAGAAGGAATTAGTCTAAAGGAACTCTTAAGTCAGTTTCTTCAGAGAGAGATTACTTCCACTGATAATAATGGCAATTTTCTTTATATAAAAATAAAGATATGTATACTCGTTTTATTAGAAAAGCTTCCATAGCATCAGAGAAAACATGAAAATAAAGAATATCAACTTTTTCAGCAAAATTGAATCGTTCCCTCAGAAAGAGAAAGAACGTGGAAATTCATGAGCGGTAATACTCATTTCCCTCAGTGGTTTCCACAGCTTGTGATTAAAGACACGATGGTCACGTATGTACCAATGTGCATGTGTATACGCGCGTGCAACGTATGGCGCATAAGCTGTTTGCGTTAACCGGCCACTTTCAGATTGGATAGCGCGCTTTTCGGCATATGGATTCGTCGCGGATTGACCCGCGGTTTCCATCCCCTAATGGGAAATTCATGTCTATGATTTGCTCGCCGCGGAGTAGCCGCCACCGAGATTACTCCACGACTTTTGGTCTCCCATGTAAATAGAGACAAATCGTCGCGTCATAATCATAATTACGCGAGCATTATGAAATCGATTAAAGCTTGTTCTCTAGCTTACGCTTGTTTTGATTTGTATGTTGATTTCAGATAAAATATGGAAATTATGCAACGGTTTATGAAGTTCCTTGAATTCAATTTAGACAAATGAATATAAAAATCCAAAAAGAATATAAAAATTATACTGCAAATAAGATTGCTAATAAATCCATTTCGCAAATTTTTCAGAACATTTCAGACAGATTCAAATTCTCCAGAGTTATATAAAATAGCTTTCAAAAAATTTGGTAACAACGCGTGCGTAATAAAAGATCTATTCTATTCTAATAAATATTTGACGCAAAAAGTAATTTATATGAGAGCTTTCTACGTCTTAAATTATTTTAAATCGGACGTGAATATTAATTTTACATGGTATTACATAACATATGTGATTACAAAAACGATTGTATTCTTTTTGAGAGAATCTAAACTATCTAAAAAGTAACGAAATAACAATTAATATCATTAAAGATGATTGCATTGTCCATAATTATATTAATTTCGACATCTGTATGTCAGATGTTGAAAACATTCCGAATATCAAAAATTTTGTTTACAAAAAATCCACGGGTGACTCCACCCGGATGATCCTCCCTCTCTCTGATATAACACCAGTGTAGAAACAAGCGGAACATGTTCCCGGCGACGATGCTCGTATGAGCGGACACCTAGCGCACGTTCTGCCGTACGCGCGCGACCGGCGGACGCTTTCTCTCTCTCTCTCTCTCTTTCTCTCTCTCTTTCTCTCTCTCTCTTTTTCTCTCTCTCTCTCTCTGTCTCTCTCATCGACAATTGTCCACCACGAGAGCGCTGGAAACTTTCATAAATTTCGTCACAGAGCGAGCAAATGGCTTCCGGTCCAGCGGTCGGACATTGTCGATAACAGGCACGTCGCCAGGGGGCGAATTCAATATCGCATTCGCACTGTCGAACCCTCCTCCCGCTTCCTCCGCCTACAGTGGCCCCGTCGGTACCCTCCGCGGCCACCTCTGTGTGCCCGGTGCCCCCCTCCCCCCCTTGTCACCCCCGCCGACACACACCTCCCCCTCCGGCATTGTCCCTCGCATTGTCCCGAAAGTTTTCGGCGAGCCGGCATAGCGGCTGAGCCGCGTGAATTACCATATGAATTAAAGTAATGTGATATACGATCACGGGGCACGTCCAGCGCGACCGCGTTTGAAGAAGACACTTGCGGATCCAAGAAATGCGAAAGGCGAAAAAGGCGCCGGTGAGGCGGAATCGCGAGTCATGAAAGCCTGGATCTTTCAAGAATCGTCGCCGGGAATAAAATCGTACTTCCGGTCAAAGAGAAGAATCACGATTTTTCTAGAAATCAGGGATATCCTTTAAAAAAGTTAACTAAAATTTTCGGAGCAAGTGTGAACTGTCGTCCAATTTCTTCACATATAATTTTTTCTAATTATCAGAAAATTACACGTGGCAAATAATCATTCCTCTTTGTAGCACTAACATCGATAGAAAACTAAATTCAGTTAGCTGCTGATATATTTTGCTGAAAAAGTTAACTATAAACTCATTTTACGAGATTCATTTCTTATAGAAAATTGTAAAAAAAAGTTTTAAATTAAAAATTATAACGTGTCTTTTATTGACGATAATATATAGGTATATTACGTAAGAGGCATTCTTGTTTTTGACAACCCTCTCAAAAATTTAATCGTCAATTTTACATTCATTGGCTAACTTGAATGAGTCCGCTGATAACCGGCAGCGATTTTTCCGACAGTTCCTTCAAACAGTTTTCGAGCTTTTGTATTGTTTGGGTGTTCGCCAGCGTGCGCGCGGGACGCAAATTTGTCGCGGCAGAAAATCTGCCGAAGACAAATCGCACGTAACCCCGGGGAGACTCTGCACGTGCCGCGCTCCTCGATACCGCGATAGCGTCTCCCCGTTTTAAAAACGGACGCCCGATGATCTCCCCTCGATGTCTCACTGTGCCCTCGCCGCCGCCTGCCCCGGTCTCATTTCGAACGATTTCGGGCCAGTTTGAAGCCGCTCACAATGGACCGACCATCGCGGGCATTATACCGCGGCCCGGCTATCGGCTCGACGGCGCGCGCGTAGCACGCGACTCTGCTTTCTGGCCGGCGCGATATCTCGATCGCAATAAATTCACATTAAACTATCTGCTCCGCTATGGTTCCGGCCGCAGCTTTAATACATCCCGTCCCCGCCGCCGCGTCCCCGCCCCGTCGCCCCCCCTGTGCCCTTCTGCGCAAAACCACCCCCGCCGCGTTGAACGACGGATGGTCCATCCGGCTTCGTTGTCGGCGCCGATTTTAATTTTCTGATTTTACGATCTTCTCCGCATGTTGCGCTTTCTCTTTTCTAATCACACTTTTTCATCAATTCTCAATTGCAGAAAGATGCAACAATAATTGACTCGCAAAATATCAAATAATTCGATCCTTTATCTAAATAAAAATTTTAAATAATTTTATTGGTTATTTTTTTCAGTAGATATTTTGTGTTTCTGCAGAATAAGTTTGCAGAATAATTATTTTTGAAGTCTTTAAATAAGTATTAATCTTATCGCTGAAAAATCGTTATTTATTTCAAATGGATTATACCATTTAAGCACTTTTAGAACGTGTCCTATTAACACATGTTCAAGTTTCTATAGATATAATAAAGAAGCTTGAATTGCATCATCCGTTCCGATTTTCCTTCTTTCCTTCTTTCTCTATATCACCGGCGTACTTCATCTTCTCGTTGGCGAGCAGAGGTAATTAATACGAGCGAGCCTCACTAATCTGGTGTTAGAATCGTGGCGATTACCGCCCCTAACGCAGGTAAATACGAGGTCGCGTAAACTCGACCGCCGGTTAAACTCGCGCGCCGTTCGCTCACAATGGGCGGTATGTGTTAAGGCTGCCGCATTAATTTCTAGTAATTATCAGAGGTGTATTTCATCCGGGGTGGGTCGCGGGTCGTGTCCGGGGTCGGCCACTGCGTGTTAACGCCGTTGTTATGCCCCATTATATTGTCCTACCAACACACGCCGGCACACGGAGGGAAAGGCAATTGCGTGTAGAGACGGGCGTCACGGCCCGCGAAAAGGCTCGCCGTGCGGTCCGTTTTGAAAAATTAAACGTGTGTTCCCCCGCACTCTCACCCGTTTCCCCATTCTAGCAACCTCTTTCTTGCACGATGCATTTTTTCCGATTCTACTAAAAATACTAAAAAATACGGAATGTTGACGATATTGTACTTTAAATATACAAACTGTGAGTTGCCGTGGCATTTTTTGTTTCTAATTACTATATCCATTACACGTATCGCGCATACACAACGAAGAGAAAAATGCGGCCTTTAAAACGTGATCTTTAAAAACGTTTAAAAAATAACTTTTTTATCCTTTAATGGAAAGCATCAGAGGGACCATCTATTGCGCCATTTTTTGCCATCTTTGGGCGCAACGGTAACAATGCGGTCACCCTAAACACTTTTCAGACAACGTGATTCATCGTTGCGTAACGCGCGAAAACACGCGATCAAAACGAGATTTTGAATGGAGAGCGGCGTCACATCGCGCCGCGTAACGAATCGCAGTGAAAATTGATAAAATACTATTTAATCCGCTCCCCCTCCGCGGCTCTGCATCTCCGCGGCGCGGGAGATAGCATTACTAATTTATTTAAATGGACTTATCTTGCCGAAGCCCCCCCGATAGGAATGTAAATTGGAACCCTCCGAATCAAGGGGGTAATGGCACGAGTAAGATAAAGATATTTTATTGCTTTGCGGTCGGACATATTTAAGCAGGGTCGAAAGTCTTTTTTCCATTGTCGAATGATCCGATGGCGGAGAGACAGGGAGAGAAGATGCCGTTCCCTTCATTAACTTTCCGTCATTATTCGCGAAAATGGGTCTTCGCAAATTAGGAATTCATGCCGCACCAGTTGCTGATTAAAGGCGAATATATATGTTCCGTTATAAAAAAAAAAGAAGATAATGCGAAAGTTGAACACGAATTTTCAATATTGATATTTTCCTCCAAAAAAATACGATTATAGTTATAAGGAATGATTTTAATAATGTGCTAATATATTAATATATCATTGATTCTTCAAAATTCTTTATACATATTTTGAAAGAGATGCAACATTTCAGATGAAAAAAGATTATAACTTGCTTTTCCAAAGCTCATATAAAGAAAATACTTTTAATTCTAATCGTAAAATTAACAAGAAAGGGTAAGAAAAAAGAAAAAAAAATACAACCGATTTACGAGAGATACGTTTGATACTCTGGAAATTGAGATTAAAAGAGAAAAATAAAGTAAATTAAATAATGCGACTCACCAAAAGAAAACTAAAGATTTAAAATAAAACAGGCGTTTCTTATGTTAGGTAAGGCAGGTTTCAGTCTTTCATTTCTAGATGGGAAGCTTGTCAGTCACGGAAGATGCCGATGTATCTGTAACATAAAAAAACAGCGATTTTATTATTATTGGAATATATCTTACAGTTAGTAAATCTGACTTCTTTTCATAGCATCTACATATATGTATATAGATATAACGGCGCCTTATTTGCGCACTTGTTCTTAGCGTCTGGAAGATCGTTCGCGCGGCCATTCCTGGCGTAATTGTGATGATAAATCTGTGCCACGAGAGCCGCGAAATTCGGGCGGATACGCGTCGACGTCCCGCGACGGCGCAACAAAGAGCGAGCGGCTGCCGAAAAATAACGCGACAAAAAAAAAGCGCAAACAGGCGAAACAGAATAAAAATAGAGCAGAATAAAATAGAGCATTGTCGCGCTCGGTGGAGGAGCGGTCGGAGCGGCGAAATAGAAAGGACCGGCCGCGCGAGCGCGGGCAATAATTCGAAACAAAATGTCAAGCGAGCCCGCCATTGTCGGGCGCGGTGGTGCGGTAGGCGCCAACTAGCGCCAACGAGAAAATATCGTCGACAGTAAATCAAGGTGCTCCGGCAGAAGAGAGAGCAGGCCCTTTCACCCCTTTCATCCCTCCGCCGCCGCGGGACGATCCGCTCCGGGCGGCCGCACGATCGCACCGGAGCTCGCTTCCGTTTTTCATCATACGTACGTCGTAAATAAGCCGAGACAGCTCGCCGCTTCAACGTTTCAAGGTTGCCATCGCGAGCTTCGATCGCCCGTTGCGCTTCGGGAGCAGTCGAGCACTGCGGAAACCCGCGAGCGGAAATCCATCCAGCGAGCGAAATAATATTCTCTTAGTTATAATTAAATATGTATAAAGAAAGAAAAAAATATAATAATAATAATAAGATTATTTGTTTATTATATTCTTAATGATATCAAAACAAGTAGTATTTTAAATCAATTTGTATATACGTTTTATTTGAACCTACCGAATTAGACATGTAAAAAGTAAATATAGGGAAACATTCTCTCGGAAAGAAGTTTTCTGGTTAAATTTCTAGATTCCTTTATTTTTCAAATTAGGAAAAAGTATTAAAGAAAATAACGGCAGAAACTTTAGATTAGAAGTGCAGTATAAAGATCTCATAGAAGTCATTAGAATGGCGAAAATACGTGCGAAGTTCTACGAGCAAATCGCAACATATGCCCTAGAAAAGCGCTAGCTTGCGCGGACGAAATCGTTTAGCGTCGCCCGATTGACGTCGAAACGTTGTAACTGGCTGCATCGTGAGACCGATGTAAGCTGCGTGTTCGCAGTCAAGTTACATAATCGCACCGGAAGACCGTGACCAAACGGGGAATCGGGGTGGCCGACAATAAAGGACAGACAAGTACGTAGTTCAAAAAGCGATACAAGATTTGCTTAATCGTTTGTGTTTGAGTATTAGTTCAAAGTCGAGAAGTCGTATTAAAAATTATAATAAAGTTAATCAAATGTATTTGTTATTTCAATATTTCGCAATGTTTAAATAATACAACTAGTACGATCAATTAAAAATTTTTTTATATAATATATACATACGTATATATTATATAAAATTCAATTTTGAAAATTTTGTAAGTTGAACTTTGTATAGAAACGATTCTAGATTCGAAAAAGATCAAATTCTTACGGACATGAGCAATGACTCATGTCTTCCCTCATAAAGACCCCATGAATGATCCCCGAAGAAAACGCGTATCCCGTGATTGAAGGCACAATGGCGGAAGGTGATGCGGACGTCAAGACGCGGCTCGTCTGGCGAGAATCGGTAAACCGAAAACTTAATGTCTCGGAACGGACGCCATATTAGCATGTCCGCGTCCAATCGTCGCCCACGTGGCAAGGGTGCCGTGGCGAATCGGGCCCGGGCTATGACATTGTCATTATTTCACTGACAGAACAAGCATGCGCGCGATTCTCCACGGGAAGTATCGCTAACAAGGGTGGGAAGAGCGGCGGACTGATCGCGAGGAAGAAAGACAGATACAGGGTGCTCGTTTTAAATGAAAGCACGGGGCCCCGACCCCGTAATGCCTTTGTCTCATTAATTTATTCTTGCTTTTAAAATAATTTTTAATGGTTAATTTTACTAATTTTTAAAAGTTAATTTATTTTTATTTTTGTAAATTTTATTTTTATAGATGTAAAAAAAATAAAAAATTGTTAAATAACGTTAAAAATTTAGAAAATAAAATTCGTGGATGTTTATTAAGACGGTGTAAAAATATGTATATTTGTTAATTTAAAAAATCAAAATCCAAAGAATAATGCGACAAATCAAAAAAAGGATAAGTAGAGGAAAATAGAGGAAAGACCTGTATAATAATAACGGAACTTTGCCGCGATAGAAAGTATGAGAAAGAGAAAGAGGGATGATGAAAAGAACGAAGGGATGATGGGAGTCCTCAGGGGTCCCTTCATCGCTCTGTAAGGGATACAACTACGAGGTCCGGGTGCTCCATGTTATTTATCTTTATGGACCTCGGGCAGAGGGTAAGTACACTTACTTCGGGGGTGGTGAAGGGGCGAGCTTAAGCCGGAACGAGGGCGGTAAGAGATTGTTTGTCGTATTGGCCGCGGTTTCGACGAGCTTAACGTTACCCGTTTAGGGGATTTCGCAATGACTTTCTCAAGAGAGAGAGACAAGAGCCAGTTATCTCTGCAAAAGAGTTTGCGAAATTTCTTGTGCTCGTAAAAACGACACAATTCAATAAGTGTCAATATGTAATTCTATATTAATATAATTTATCATTCAACAATTATGTCACAATTAATGTTTCCTTATGTTCAGACTCAAGTAGTATTAGAATATATAAATCATGTATATTATATTTTAACGCAAATATTTTTAAACCAAGTATCGAAAAATTTCAAGACGAGAAAGAAATTTGATATATAAATTGTTTCTATAATTATTATAACAATTTTTAGTATTAAACCTCTTACAAAATAAATTTGACTGATGCTTCATGATTATTTTACTCGAACATAAAACGAAATAACAATCGATCTGGCATCCGCGAATCGGAGATGTCAAGGTAAGGTTTCTGAGTGGCCAGAAATTAATCTATTGCCGTGTAATCGGCTTTCGGTGATTTAGCGCCGAGGAGACAAGAGGAGGACGGACGACGTCTATGAAGTAAAGAGCAAGATCGATTCTATATCTGGGAAGTCATTGCGAACTCGTATTGCCCAACAAAATCAATCAATTAAGAACAATTTTTTTATAAAAAAAAGGGTATAAAAAGAATTTTACATATTTGTAATAAGATTTTTTATCACAGACGAAATACAGACAAAGATAAAAATAGATAGAAGTATCAATCCGATAACATATATAAATTTAACTATAATATCTTATTAGTAATTAATGTGTATAAATCTATAAGCTAAACCTATCGACAGAGATAATAAATTAAGAGGATATGAAATATGGTTTTAATTGTCACGGATATTCTTTTATTAATTAACAACGAGCTAGAATACATACAGTGCTTATGTACAATTGTGATATTTACATCGAAGTAATACAACGTGATATTTGAATAAATCAATTCTTACAAAACGAAACAGAACATCGATATTTCTATAATAAAGAGAGATAATTTACTATATACATGACTTATATATTACATGTAATCTTAAAACAACTTCGTACACACACGTTGCGATATTTTAGTTAATATTTCCGTCAATATGATTTCTGATAATATATCTGACAATTGTAGAGCGCAATATCGAATTGTTCGTTAAACATCTATGCGATATTTGAGTTTCTTTCTTTCTTTCTTAATCGGAATTGATACATCCAACTTACTTATAATTTATGAACGCATTCTTCTTTGTATTAAAAGTTTTACTACATGTATTTACACGCTACTGTGATTATTGCTGTACAGAATACTGGCATAGGTCGTACTAATGATACGCCTTTTTTCACGAGAGATTTCCTATTAATAATCCTATACAAAGTTCTATTATATTGAATCGCAATATCAACTAAAATTAAACTAAGATTAATTTGATCAGAAATAATAACATTTGTTCTTACTCATTATCACAAGCGGTTGGATTAAAATGTTATTCCTATACGGATTCAATTCTTTCAGTGACATCGGGAAAGGCGATAATTCACGTAATTTTCGGACAATATTAAGCCACTCGGCGACGGCTTAACCCTATGTTAAGCCGCATACCGTCGGCGAGAGTGCGACGGGGGGTGGTGAACGATGGTGGGGGCGGGATTCTCGACAGTGGTTGGAAACCGGGCTGTATTTAAAACGCGAATGCGCGCAGGCCGATTCGCCGTTTGAAGTTAAATGGAGTGTAAATGGCAGATAACAAACCGGCACTGTTTCCGATTACGGCATTCATTGTTTCCTACCATTATGCGCGCTCCGACGGTTTGTGTGTGACGCGGGTTACGGTTTACGATCTATTTATTACCACGCCGCCCTCACCTCCGTACACACGGCCGAAATGCGCTTTACACGCTTGCACCACCCTCCGCAACACGCGCAACCCTTCCACACCCCTCCCCGACCGCCCTCCCCCCTCAGTGCGCTGCTGCTATCGCCACATTCGCACCCACTACCCGTTTCACCTGTCTGCCGCTGTAAATACGCGGCAAATATTTTACTTTCTACATCGTGGAAATGGAGTCGTTCGAATGGACCGTATGTAATTTGCGAGTATATCGAAATACGACCGCGATTATTTTATCTCTGACAATTTTAGCACGCTGCTTTTCCCCAAATATGCATGATTTTAAAATATTTTATTGCTACAATTGGTTTCATGTCCAGAACTACGTGTTTTTAGATTGGATCTTTCATTTTAAAAATGATTAAACGTTTCTATGAACAATTTTTTTAATTTATAAAATTTCGAGAATTTATGTGAAAGAAGAAATAAAAATATCAGATACTCATTTTATTCATTCTCTCAAGTATAACAACAAATGTAATATGTAATATTTAAACGCTTTAGAATTTTATGTGCATATCAATAATATAAATAGTAATTACATAAATCATCATATATCTTAAATTTTTATATTTTTTTGCGAAAGATGTTTGATATTTCTATCTTCTTTTCAAAGAATGCAAAAATTATGACTTTTCATAAAACAAAAATTATATTTTTAAATATAAAAATAAATTGAATACTATGTAAAAAGTGATATTTTATTTACATAAAAATTATCTTTAGAAAGTATTTTTTGGTAATTTTTTCCTTCATTTCCTAAAAATTATATACTATTTTTTAAATTGATTAATTCATTTATCGATCTCTTTCTCTCTTTCTCTCTCTCTCTCTCTCTTCTCTCTCTCTCTTCCCCTCTCTGTCTTTACTTCTTTTTACAGATATCTCTTATTTTACTTATTTCAAAGAATTAAATATATTTACAAATTGTTCCTACCTAATATTGACTAGACAGGGAATGTCTTCATTGCAGTTCATGAATTATACTAGAATAATCATGTATATGGACCGATAATATTTATAGAGATATTAACCTTTCTACATAGACATTAAAATTTTTCTTATTTTACACGTATACAATGTAAATGCCGCAACAGTATACAAAGTATCGTCATTCAATCAGCGGCCTTTCATCTTTGATTTTTTTTGTCCAATTTCAAATCGATTTTTTTCTTAACGAGAATACGCATTACAATTAATTTTCACAAATTATAAATCTGTCTACGTAAATCTATCCAAATTAGATAAGAAATAAGATCTTATATTTGTATTTTTAAAATTTAATTTCTGGCATTTTTATTTTTAATCGTTTAAAAATGAAAATGCTTAATAATTTAATCTGTTGATGTTTTCGTGTTTTTGTTAAAGAAAAATCGATTCTAAATTAACAAATAGATACATTAAGTAAAAAACATTCCTCTGTAAATCTGCACATTGCAGATATTCACAATGAAAAAGAAAAGTGCAAAAATTCATTTAACCGAAACTTCTGAAAATATGACAATGTAATTTGTATATTTCCGACATGTAGCTCGAACATATTTTTTTTAAAGCTATGTCTTAATTTCTCTCTCAATCTAATAAGACGTAATTGATAAGGGGACAACAATTTCATCGTTATCACAAACCCCATAATCTTCTCGAAATGCACCAGTCAGAAATGAATCAGTTCTCAAAGGAATAACCAGCCGTTAGAACATCGTCTTCGATCGGCAGTTTTCGTCGTCACTTACTGTGAACAGTAGTCCTCCTCTTGATTTCGACCTGGTCAACGATGCCGTCGCTCTCCTTATCCTGATGGGCGGTCATATGTCTAGTGAGATGGTGCCTCTCGCGGAAGCTCTCGTCGCAAACGGGACACCTGAGCTTCTCCTCTCTCCTCCTCCTCGCCGACTCGCCCACACTTTCATTCTTGTGGTGAGAGCGCATGTGATAGACTAGGTCGGAGGTCATGCGGAACGACAGGTTGCACTTGGCGCAGACGTTCTGCGCCGGTAGAGTCAGGGCGGCGAACGACGGTGGCAAGAGGCCGGCCACCCCGGCGGCCGTAGCCAGGAATCTCGGCCTGGCGAGGGCGTCCGCCATCGGCGGAAATACGGAGATGGGATTGTAGGAGAGATTGGGATAGACCGGCGGAAGATCCGGTCGGAAAGCGGATACCTTTGGACTGGGCACCTTGGGCGGCTGAGCGATCTGCGGGATCTTCAGATTCTCCAACAGCCCCGTGTGACCGGCTTCCGCCCCCATGGTCAGAAAGGGATACGCCATCTTGGTGGGGAACGGCGCGTACTTGTAGCTCGTCGCACCGGGCAACGACACCACCGGCGGACTGACGCTGCTCTGATAACTCGCGCGATCATCCGGCGATATCGACGACCTCGGCGACGCTTGGCCGTCGTCGTTGAAGCCATTACGCTGCCCGATCAGATTTACCTTCGTGAAGGCACTCCGGGATTCCCCTTGACGATCGGACACGCAGGAGATACCAGTCTCGTAGACCTTCGCGCAGGCTAAAATCGAAGAATTCGTCGATTCGGGACAGGTGGTCAACATAGACTGATGATGGCCGAAAGTAGGTGGACTCGGGGTCTTCTGAAGCTGGCCACCGGTCGGCGCGTATCTTCTCCCGTCCGAATCCGGGGAGAGCCTCGGTAAGGTTGGCGTCAAGGTTCTCGGCGATACGTACGGTGGACTCAGCGAATTCTCCGTGCAATGCAGCAACCTTCTTCTGTCTGAACCGCCAGAATCGTTGTCGTAGTGCTTGATGGTGAGATTCTGCGGCAACCTATCAGTGTCCAGAGCACTGTCGACGGAGATATCGTCTCGCAGACGGTCCTTCCGGCCGGTTATCAATCGCAATTTTTCGTTCTGACGTCGCGCCAGGTTCTCGTCGGGTGCCACGAGGAAAGCGACGTCGAAGGAGCGCTTGCTAGCTCGTTGAAGGGGGTACGAAGCGTCGGGCGTGACGTCGCTGATGGACGCGGGGCACGCCGACGTCAGTGCCGTCGTGGCCGGCGTCGAGGTCGCGGGGGTGGCGCGGTCGATGCCACCCGTGCGATCTTCCATTGTCATCCTGCTCGCTCCGGATGATCGACCTACGACAATGACGGTGAGTGGACAGTGAGTGTTAATGTCGCAGTGACATGGAGTGATTGATCGACCAAAATTCGATACACTCTGCCCAGATGTCCTACATTCGAGAGGAATAAATCGGAGCAAGACAAGATTGGTTGTCGAGATAATTGAGAAAAGTTAAGACAACGATACTTTTTTTCATGAAACGTGAAATAAGATGTTCACATCTGACGTAACAAAAGATACGTTTAAAAAGACGTTGTTACAATTGTCATTATGAAAATTAAAAGTGATACCAGTAATAAAACTATAACATGTTGAAAGCATTAAACAAGCCATAATTAAATTTATATTAGAAAAATATTCATAAACTTTTGCTATACATATAGACATTATAAATTGATATACAATCCGTAATCTGTATAAAATCGTTACCTCAAAACAATTTTAATTTTGGGAATTTCTTTTGTTTATAGTAAAGCAATTAAAATGAAAGATTCTAACAGTATAAAATCATTTTTTATTCATAATAATAGAACATTGTTATTTTACTATTTTTTCTATTAATAAATGGTATTATTTATTTCGATACCTCTTTTTTAATAATCATTTCGTATTTCAAATTGAAGTAAGTAATATGAACAATTGATCAACTATCCATAATGACATTGCAAGTTAGGGTATCTTAAATAACAAAAAGCTTTTAGAAAACAAGGGTTTGGAAATATTAAAATGCTTCTAAAAATTTTCATAACTTGTATCTCTTTATATATCACGTAGGTAACTCACATAAGTAATACTATATCTACTTACCAGATTACGATGACAAGTGTTTTCTTCTGAATACACGCGGTCTGTACGCTACACTAGTTGGACCACGTTTCCCATAACTCAGAGGATGGATCTTCTTCGATCCTCTCTAAGACATCAGACTGCACTTTTTCTCACAAGACTTATCTCGCCGAAACCGATCTTCGCAAGCGAGCACGCGGGTCCGTAATAAGCCACAGAGAGCAAAACCAACACCCTCTAACGGACCCACCGATCTGGTGTAAAGGCCAGGGCGCACTAAAGTGGCGAACACTCGGTGCCGTATCGGCGGTTCGCGTTAAAATGAGAGTGCTGTTCGCGCATCCCCCGTATTTAGGGGTAGCCGTCGCGTAGGGTAGCACAAGCGTGGCAGGTGGAGGCGCGACGAGGGTGGCACTGGCCAATGGCAGGGTCTGCAGCGTTATACGGGGGTGGAGCGTAGCAGCGGGGTGAACATATTCGCTCGTCGGGACGCGTCTGCTAGCACCGTCCAGACCACGCCTACATATTTCAGGTTCGACACATGTGCCCGGGATCGTCGTCGTCGTCGTCGTCGTCGTCGCCGTCGTCGTCGTCGCCGTCGCCGTCGCCGTCGCCGTCGCCGTCGTCGTCGTGGGCTCTTGCCCACCTCCCCCTTCCTCTCCGTCCGACTGCCTTACCCTCTTGCGCAACGCGTACCGCAGAATCCCGCTCTGCCAGGGTGGCGAACAGGGTGGCGAAGATGACGGCGAGGCGGGGAGGGGGATACGACCGGGAACTGTAATTCAGCCTGACAAACGATCTTGAATATTTTTAACGCCCGCGCCCCGATCTCCGCTCCTTTTTTATAGCTGACTCCCGGCTGTATTGGACGTTCGGCAGACGACCCGGGTCTACAGATGAAGATACGACGATGGCAAAGAAAGTCGTTTCAAAAACGCGCACACAAAATATGTAAAGATGCTGCATAATAAAACAAATGATAGAAACTTCGAAAAAAGCTTCAAGCAAGCTTTATCAATTATAAATAAGCTGATCAAGAAATAACTTCATACATATTTATATATTGATATTTTAAAATTTTCTTTCACAATTATAATTATAATGTATTTTCTCTCAATTATAAAGTTCTCGACTTATTTATAATTATTTTCTTATGCTTACATTTGTGCATTTTGTGTGTACAATTATTGAAATAATCATTACGAATTATCCATCCATTTTTGTGGGATTACGTACGTAAACCTCGAAATAAGTCAAGATGGGTGGCATCGTAGTTTCATGCCGGAAAAATAACTCCCGATACAAGTGGGCGCAGCGGGCAAAAACTCGCCACGGAGCCAATAGGCGATCAATCATACGCCGGTGATCTATTTTACCGGGCATGTGAGAGCCGTCGATTTCTTACGCGATTTCCGCGATCCCGGCAAATCCTAAGGGGAACGCCGCGAGGTTAAAGGACATTAACTTCTTGATTGAGTCGGCAAAAAGTTGTAATGACTTTTCGATTGGCGCTATCCCGCGCCCGGCGAATACTCGCAAACGAGTATTTGCGGAAGGGAACACTCTAGTTTCTTGTACCTTACACACAGAGTGTCTCAAAAACAAAAGATCTTTTTCCTTTGTTCATGGATACTGCAAATAAAACTAAAAAAAGTGGCAGTTGTCTTGATCGAAGAATAATTCAGAAAAAAATTATTACACATTGAAGATTAAAATTCGGCAAAAATCGGCATTCGTATATAAATAACAAAATCTCACTATGCATTTTAAATGAAATTTTGTTATGTATTAAAATATATTATATATTTACTATAACAACTCATGTGACGCAAAATGACAAACTTTTATTAAAAATTCTTTATGTAGATTAAAATTCATCATTAAATACTTTAGGGTATCTCTCGAAAAAAAATCATTTTAGGCAATGCGTTTGTGTTATCGTAAAATATTAGAGTATTATCATAAAATTCATTTCCGCGGCAATAAAAAACAAAATGAAAGATTCAATCTTAAGAAACAATTTCAGTGATTTGATAAGCTCGACTGTATCGGTAATGACTCTCTTCGGCTCGATACACGCGCGGAATAAATTAAACGATCCGCTTCACGTGCAGCAGATAGTGCGGCATGCGATACAGTCGAGTCTAATCCTAATTCAGTGTCGTAAAGTCGAAAGAGTCATTACGATGACGTTACGTGTGACACGCGTCGCACGGCGGGGTGGCTACGAAACGTCCCTGTATCTTGGCACAGCCATTCCTGGATTATGAACCATATTTATTGCCGATCATACCGTGCCATTCCCCGTGAACGCGGAGAAACGGCGATATACCGATCTCTAATTCCATTTTACGTCCCTATGCCTTATTTCGCGTAAAACAGTATTCTCGCGGAGAAGTTTTACTTTTCTTCCTTCTTTTCTTTCATAATGATATGTAAAGTGACCAGAAACACAAAAGAGATGTGCATATTTATAATTTTTTTTCGTTTGTACACTTTAACTTTCAATAAATTGCAAATTGTTTGCTCAGAGGGCACGTACAAGATTACAATAATCTATTCAAATCTGAAGTAAAAATATAGAAAACCGGTTAATTTAAATGATATATTCTAGATTTTTTCTTCGCGCCACATTTATTTTCTCCGCTAATTTATTCTTTCCCTTCGATTGTTCTCACTAAACCGTAACGCATAAACTGAAAATTCGTCTCGCTTGGTACGCGTTCTAAATTCTCAAGTAGAAAAATACGTCGTGTGTGAGAATCACACTTTGCCACCATCTGCCCGTGTTATTTTGCAAATCGGCCAGAAAGGGCAAGTTTCGTGTCGCCTAATTCGACCAAGTTAAACGCACGAGCGGGCGAGCCGGCGGCGCTCGACACGTGGCGGACACGCGTGAGCTGTTAGCACCGAGCGTGAGTTCGGCGAAGGGCACTTTAACATCGACAGTATCTGTTACGTGGGTCCACGAAAGGGACACCTTACATGACGCGTGTACTTCGGCTCGATTGACTCTTACACGGGAATTAATACGTCATCGAGCAAACACGATCGCATATACCATCATGCAGTAGATTTACATTACAAGAAAATTGGCATGTCCATTCTTTTGTTTTTAAAAATAAGTCAGAAGAAAAAATTCTTTAATATTTCTCCTTTAATTTCTAATTATAATTTGTATTAAATATTTTATACAAATTTCGATATGCATATATTCTCTTCATCACGTATTTATATTTGCAAGTAAATCGTAGAAAAAATTCTGAAAATTTTTTAATTGTATATCGTCGGATATAACATTCATATATAATAATATATGAGCTCGTTAGCATAGTGAAAACTGATTACTTCGTGATTATTTATTTAAGCTTACTTTTTGGTGTTTTTTTATGCTAGCTTTGCGCTTCACGGAGGGAGTAATGTCATCCGCTTTTCGCATCGCTGACGCGGCTGCATGGAGCGAGTGCACGCGCGTTTTCGTCGGGGTCGCATGGTGATAAATATGCAGCCGATGCAGTTGATGAGAAAAGGTCGTTTATCAATCACCCATTAACGCAGCCCCGCCGAAAACCTGCTCGCTCCTGAGCCATATTTCACAGAATCATCGCGATTCCCTTCCGGCCGCTTTGGCCGCACGTTCGGTTTTCCATTAAAATTCACTATCCATGTTGTTCAAGAGCAAGCAACGTGTAAAAGCAAAAATTTAAATCGCTGGAAAGTCATTCAGTTAATACAATAATTAATATAATAATAAATAAATTCATTGTAATAACAATTTCCTTTCTTTAGGAAAGCAAACACAATTGCCATAAAAGTATTAAAAAGACTCAGATTTTTGAAAAATTAAATATTTAAAAACATAAAGATAAAGATTTCAAACCTCCGAAATCTTTATCTAAATTATATTAAAAAATGCAACATTTTGTAGAATATTTTGTATTTGTATTTAACTAATTCTTGTTCTTTTTTTTGCAGAATTATAAAACTACACATACGTGGAATATGAAAATACGTGAGAGATGAAGAACGGTTAGTGCTTCTTCAGGAATTCTTGAAACAGAGTCTCGGCCTGACAAATTGAATGTGCGATAAATTCAGAGGATTGTTGAAATAACTTGGCGTGGTGTACATAGTCAATGGCGAGAGGGAGGGAGATTCCCGAGATGAGAGTGCGGGAGATTTAGATTTTACGGACGTTTAGGCAA